CTCCTCTTCGCCCACTGCTCCAACGGCGGCCGCTCAGGCGACTGTCCCGCGCACAGCAACCGGCACTACCACCACCTCCCCCAACTCCAGGGATGAGAATCAGGACTACACCTGCCCTCACTGCGACCGTACCTTCACCTCACACATCGGTCTGGTCGGTCACTTGCGAATCCATCGTACAGAGACTGGCGAACCAGTGCGTGAAGCACCAACCTACACCCACTGCACTCGCCTCCACTGCCCACACTGCCCTCGCATCTTCAGGCATCGCATGGGCCTTTTCGGCCACATGCGCATCCACGAGAGCGGCCTTAACCGCACTCCCGACACACCCACTACATCCAACACATCCACCGTGCACACCCCCACTCTCGTTCCATCCGTCCGCGACACCACCGCCACCGCCGCCTCCTCTGTAGCTGACACTGACACCGTCGACTTCTCATGCCCACACTGTCCACGCACATTCACCTCACGCATCGGCCTGGTCGGTCACTTGCGAATCCATCGCACAGAGACTGGCGAACCAGTGCCTGGAGCACCCACCTATACCCACCAAGCTCGACTCAACTGCCCACACTGTCCTCGCACTTTCAGGCATCGCATGAGCCTATTCGGCCACATGCGCATCCACGACGACCTGCGGTAGACAACCGCCGGCCACACCACACATTCACTCACTCCCTACCTCCTCCACCACCACCATCACCCCACCAGAAATCAACACTCACATACCTCATGCACCCAACTGCCACCTCCCACGCAAGTGGGAAGTCCGCATCTCGACTCGGTCCCCATGCGGCTTCGGCTGCACGGGTGACAAGAGTCCGAGACTATCCCGACACGTCAAGCGTCGTGGATAGGAAGGTTGCTGATTGACGCCCGCTCTCGGTTCACGCAGTTTGTCGCGTTGTGTGTGTGTTGTGTGGAGTGGCGGACTGGTGGGCTGGGAACGGGCTGCAACAGCACCTTCCACGGCACTCTCACGCAAGTGAGAGACACGCCGTTCAACCCCCGTTGTGTGAAATCCTGGTTTTGTGTGTATGGGGGGCCAGGTCGTGCCGTGGCGAGCGCAGTCATGGTCAGTCGACCATGACAGCCACCGCGCCCATTCCCCACTCCAGTCTGCTGACCGGCTCGGACAGCGGCTGGGGTGTGGGAGTGGGAAGGGAGAGTGAGGTCGACGACTCAGCGCACTTCCTCCTCACTATAAACAATCTGACGCGCTTGAAGCTATCACGGTGCGCTAAAAGCCGTGGTTTGGAAGGTTGCCAACTGACGGTGTAACTTGGACGTCCTCCATGACCGGAGGCGGTCTGAGAGTCAGGCTGCAATGGCTCCTTTTTAATGTGGCCTTTATGGCACTCCCATCACAGTGTGGGATCCGAGCCAGGCGTTGGCGGCACGCCCAGGTGCGGCTTCGGCCGTGCCAGCCTCCAAATCTCTCTTGTGTTGGTTGAAATCCTGGTTATTTGTTGTGTGGACCAGGGGGTGTGGTGGAACGCCAAGGTGAGGATCCGTTCGAGTCATCCACCTGCGGCCTCCCTCGTCTCCGGTCTTCTTGACTCTGGCTTGACACCGGGCTCGGGCGAGGGAGGAGGAGAGAGTGTAGGTAGATGCAGCGCAAGTCCACCGGCACTATAAACCCCTGCGTAAGTCACCGTCCCTGCTCCCATTGCTGCTGCAACTGTGGGGCACACGGTGGACATCATCGAAACCGATGGTCGAACTGTCAGAGTCCTTTCGGTCAACCGCATAGAGGCTTGTAGCAAGGAGTGTGTAAGGCTGGCTGACGACTGCCAGTAGGTCAGAAACAGCCATCTCGGCCTTCCTGGCCTTTTTTTGGAACCAGCTCATGTACATAAAGACAGTTCGATCGTGGCTACGGACGTTGTTCCCCGTGTGCCCACTGCAGTGCGGGCGTAGGGACGGTGACTTGCGTCCCATCTATCGCACTCACTCCTTCCCCGCCTTCCTGGACACTGTGTCAGGACAGTGTCCGGAAGATCGTGGGGTGGGATATGACACAAGGCAGTTCGCGCGGATTGAGCGTGCACCTAGGCGTACCTCCACCGCGTCATTTGTTATGGGTGCGCAGCCCAATAACACCTGCCGGATCCTGATCTGCCTACACTGTTGGTCCATCGCTACTCCCGTGTAGGAAGCCGAGTACGAACATGTAATTCGTTATGCACTTCCCACTGCCAGCATAATTAACTGACAAATCTGTCAGAGAATTCTAGTCTTTCTGTCAAGAACAAGTCAGTAGCCGTTAGGTAACACTAATTACTTACGGCATTTACACATAGTCAGTAAAGCAGAACTGCCAGGCCTCAGTAGACTGCACGGGATAGTATAGACCACAGTGCCCATTAATGGAACTTGAAATAGTGATTGAGATTTTAGCACGGACGTCAATTTGGCCCATCGAGACTGATGATGCGCGAACATCTCGCAAGCAGGAAAATGCAACGTCAACGTCAAGCAGAATACATTTGACATCCTGCGTGCTCATTGTGCTGAGAGGAAACGCAAAATGAACTGTCCTTTTATTTTCGTGCTTAAATCTTGACGCGACATAAGGGCACATTTTAATTCAAATGGAATTAAAACTCAAATTTAAATGGGACTGTTTCGACAGCCATAAGGCTAGCATTCTGCCACTAGGTCATTTACCAGGCTTAAATCTTAATGAATTAAATTCAGGCCCAAATTTATTGTCGGCTGGGGTGCAGTTTCTAATTAGATTCAGAGGTGGGACATCCGTTTGTGAATTTCTTTTGTTTTTGCCATTTTTCCTTCGAAGAGTTCTGCGTTCCCCTCCTCTCTGGGGCAATGTAGAATTGCTGGCATTCTTTAAGACTGTCCTTCCGCAATAACCTAATGAGATTACGCGAAACAATTTCGAATCCTTCACACAGGTTTACAACCGTAATTGGGCGATTGTAGTAATCTGTGTAAATGGCTAGTTTATAGAAAAACTATGGGTTCTTTTCCTTTTTCGAACTACGGATCTGTCTAAAGATATGGGCTTTGCAGAAAAAAGACCAAGTGCTTTAGGTATCTAAAAACTGGGTGAATGTCACATAACCGTCCTTGCTTCTTAACGGCGTATCAGGGCAGGATTATTACCAGTTTGTTATGGTCGATGTTTCTCTTAAATTTGCTTTCGCATAAACAATGAAAGCATTTTCTGGATTTTTACCTGACTTGTCAAAATAAACAGCGCTTGCATCCGTTTCAAGTACCCTGTAAATTAGTTATAAAATAGTTACTGTTTCATTGCGGTTTCCTTTTAGGGTAAAGCCAGCTGAAGTCCGTATTCCAAAAAGCTTACACTAAAAGAAGCCCTATACTGCCGAGGAATCGCGATTTTCTACCTATTTACCGGAACCTCTCTCCGAGCCTTTGATCACAGATTTAAACTGTCCAAACTTCGAAAGTTATGAGAAAGACAAGAAATCACGCATTTTTGGTAGTAAACTTGTTTTGATGCTTTTTTATAAAGGCGAACACGAACTAGAGTGTTTCTAGCTATCTTGATTTTCATAAACGCGCGCCAACAGTATATAAAGATATACTGTTAAAAGGAGTTAATCGCTGCCCAAATATCCACCTAAGCATTCCTGTGGTAAAGTTACTCTTGCAACCTTCATGCACACCAAAAATCTTAGTGATCACTCTTCTATTGCAATTAGTTGATAACGAACGACCAGTGTGGATTTTACTCAGCAACTCTGTAAACAAAAAATCATAAACCATGAGAGTAGAGGAGTCCAGCTTTGTTCTGAAATTACGAACTCCTTGCCTACAGTTGGCTGCGTCGATTCTGCTGAAAACTTCGTTTTCAAGTCGACGTAGTGCACCACTTAGGTTTTTAATCGGTCGTTGAAAAAGATATTAAAGATCATTTATGTTAAGAGTGTAGAACTGAACTTTTATAAGTAGATAGCTTTTGAGTGCACGACGCGCATCTGAATTTGGTGGGAATGGCTCATCTTGGTGAACACGCACTTCACTCCTCTTCCT